GAGGGGAGGGGAGGTGCTGGGAGGGCGGGTGAGGGCCATGGGAGCGGCGGCAGGCGAGCACGCCCCGGTGGCAGCACTGCCTGCCCCCACCACAAACACACACACAGCCCCGTGTGCATCTGCCCCAGGGGTTCCTCCCATCCCGGCCTAGACACAACCATGCACACTCACACCCTCTCCACCCAAGGCTACCCACCACCACCACCACCACCCACCCTTGGGAATCATGGGCTTGATGTAGCGGCCTCGGTCGTCGGAAAAGATCATGGTCTTGGCGCGCCCGGTGCGCCCCTGTGCCCGCTGCTGCTGCTGCGCAAACATGAGGATGGATGGATCCAGGATCACGCCCTCGCTCTCAAACATAAACTGCTCCGGGATCTGGTCGTTCTGCTGCTCCTGCTCCTCGTCCTGCGGGCAGGGCGGGGCGGGGCGGGGCCGCGGGAGGGTGGAGGAAGAGCGGGCGGGAGGGGCAGGGCGGGGCAGGGCAGCGTGTGGGGCCCGCGAGCAGGGCGGCGCCTCCCCGGATTTGTTTGCATCTCCCCGGCAGCCCCCGCCCCCACCTGCTCCTCGCTCTCGTCCTGCTCCTGCTCATCCTCGTCCTGCTGCTGCTCGTCCTGGGGCGGCGGCGGCGGCGGCGGCGGCGGCTGCTCCTGCAGCAGGCGGCGGGCGAGGAGGCCGGCGCTCAGCGCGCAGCGCCCCGCGGCCCGGCCTCCCACCCTCTACATCGGGCCCATGCTGGCAGCAGCAGGGCGCAGTACGGGGCCCTGCCGCTGCCGCCGCAGGAGGTGCAGCACGCATCCCCGCCATCACGACCACCCCACCCCACCCGCACGCACGGGCCTCGCCGCCGCCACCGGCACCTTCCCCAGCCAGCCTCCCCCCACGCCGCCCCCCCACTCACATCCTCTGGCGGCGGCATGTCCATGATGGTGGACCGCGGCAGGATGACCAGCTGCACCGCCTTCTGCAGGTCCTCGGGCTCCACCTTGTCCCGCCCCTCCAGCGCCGCGCTGGCCTTGGCCACCCGCACCCCAAACAGCTCCGCGCGGTGGCCCTGCACGCCGCCGCGCCGCGCCTCCTCAACCAGGTACCGCACCTGGCGCTCGCCGATGGACACCTCCTCCAGATACTCCCGCGCAAACACAATCTGGGGAGCGGGGGGCGGGGAGGGCGGGAAAGGGGGTGAGGCGGGGCGGGGGTGAGTCGAGGGAAGCTGGTGAAGGGGAGGATGGACTGGCAGGACAGCGAGTGGTCATCGGATGGCGAGAGCGGCAGCAGCTCCAGCACCAGCAATAACTAGTGGCCGGTGCCCTTCCGCCGCGAGTGGCTGCTGGAGGTGCACGGCATTGGCAGCCAGCGGGGTGGCCCCGCATGCGGCCATGACATTGCCACACG